AATGTTCACCATCTTTAGCAATTAGAGAAATGCAAATCAAAACTACTCTAAGATTTCATCACTCCAGTCAGGATGGCAGCTATTAAGAATACAAACAACTGGGCTGGGGATCTGGTTCAATGATAGAGTGCTTGCCCAGCACGCATGAGGCACTGGGTTCCATCCTCAGCACTGCATAAAAATCAAATAAAGATATTGAGTGTCCACCTACAACTAAGAAAAATTATTTAAAAAAATACAAACAACAGTAAGTGTTGGCAAGGATGTAGAGGAAAAGGCACACTCATACATTACTGGTGGGATTGCAAAATGGTGCAGCCAATATGGAAAGCAGTATGGAGATTCCTTGGAAAACCGAGAATGGAACCACTTTTTGATCCAGCTATCCCACTCCTTGGTCTATACCCAAAGGACTTAAAAACAGCATACTACAGAGACACAGCCACATCAATATTACTGTAGCACAATTCACAATAGTTTAACTGTGGAACCAACCTAGATGCCCTTCAATAGATGAATGGATAAAGAAAATGTGGTATATATACACAATGTAATATTACTCAGCAATAAAAAAGAATAAAAATCACAGCATTTGCAGGTAAATGGATGGAGTTGGAGAATATAATGCTAAGTGACATTAGTGATTCCCCAAAAAACAAATGGTGAATGTTTTCTCTGATATAAGGAGGCTGGCTGATCATAATGGGATTGAGATGGGAAGCATGGGAAGATTAGACGAACTCTAGATAAGGCAAAGGGATGAGAGGGGAAGGGAGGGGGCCATGGGAGTAGAAATGAGGGTGGAATGAGATGGACATCATTACCCTAAGTACATGTATGAAGACACAAATGGTGTAAATATACTTTGTATACAACCAGAGGTATGAAAAATTGTGCTTTATATGTGTAATATGAATTGTAATGCATTCTGCTGTCATATATATAACAAATTAGAATAAAAATTTTAAAAAGAAAGACTCCCAGGCAAATTCCTCCAGTTTCTGCTTGAGGAGTGGGAGAAGAGTCATAAATCCTTCTTTCTTTTTCTCTCTCTTTTTTTTTTTTTTTTTTTCCTGTTCAATTTAGCCTCAGTGCCCAAGTAATTCCATGGTGGCAATGGTACAGCAGTAATATAAATAATGAGAGCCTAAAATTCTGAGGGAAGTAAATCTTACTCTTCCACCAGAAGAGATGTTGTCTCAAAGTGGGGCAAACCCATGTGGGTTTGTCTCCCTCTGTTCTGTGCCACTTGGCCTTGATACAAAATAGTATCAGGAAGAACACAGAGAAGTAAAACAAGCCTTTGCTCTCTGACCTGACCAAGAAAGATAAGGCTCAAAGGCTGTTTGCAATTTTTAACCCAGCTTGGTTAATTCTTTGCTAAAACAAAAACATCAACAATGTTTATGGGACTTAAATAACTGTCATTTCATAATATAATACTATGAAATACAATCCAAAGTTACTCAGCATATGAGGAATCAGAAAAATCTCAACTCACATGGGAAAAGACAACAAATCAATGCTGGGATGAAGGAGATGTTAGTATAAAAACTCTATAAAGCAGTTATTATAATATGCCTCAAGTAAAAGCCAATGCCCTTGAAGCATATGAGAAGGTATTTATAATAACTAGCCTTTAGGAAAATGCAAATCAAGATACCACTGTTTAACTACAAAATCGCTAATATCTATTGACAGTACCACAGGTTGACAAGAACGTAAAGTAACTGGAATGCCCACCACATATTTCCATGAAGATGCAAAATTATAAGACCATCCCAGAAAAAAATTTTCCCAAGTATCCTAGAGAAACAAAAACCTATACATGAATGTTTATAGAAGCTAAAAATTTAGTGGCCCCAAACGGAAAGTAAGTCAAATATTTCTCAGTGCTTAAATGGAACTATGGTAATCTGTACAATGGAATTATAATTTAAAGGAACAATAAAAGCAATGATATTCCTTTTAATAAGGCAACAAAAAGGAACAAACAATGGATTCATGCAAGATTAACCTTAAATGCATTTTGCAAAATGAAAGAAGTCAGATCCAAAAGGTTGTTATGTATTTTATGAGTCCACTTATATGAGAAGGCAAAACTATTGAGAAGAAAATAGACCAGGGATTGCCAGGGTTCTTAAGAGGGATTCTCTATAAAGGGGATGGCATGGGAGAATTTTTGGATTAATGCAACTGCTTTATTTGGAACTGGATCAATGGATATAACTGCATACCACAAAAAAGTGAAGTTTGCAGCATGTACATTTTAAGGTTAAGTAGGATGTAACCATAAAGCATTTGATAAATGCTTTATGTTACGATGTTATCATAGGATATTAACATAAGAGTAAACTTCAATAAAATCCAGAATGGGTAAAACCTCTAAAATAAGATATCTCTCAATAATCTCTACCTCTTGGTATTCATGCCCAGAATCAGAATGTGAGCTAGATATAGTGATTCATTTCTACTGCAAGCAAAGTAGCAAAGATAAGGTTAGATTTCAAAAAGGCTGGCTTTTATCTTGGCACCCTCTCTTGTTCTTTTACTTATTCACTCTAAGGGAAGTTTATAAATTTAGATGTCATATTGTGAGTTGCCTTAAATAGACAAGAAACTAACATCTGTGGCCAAGCAACTGAGTGATCTGGGAAATATACCCTCTTACTCAAACCTTGAGATGAGACCAGAGTTGCAGCCACTACCTTATTTGCAACCTTGTAAAACAATGGGAGCCAAAAGATCCAGCTAAGCTATGCTTAGATTTCTGACCTGTAGAAACTGGGAGGTTTACTGCTTTAAGCTGCTTCATTTCAAGGTAATATGTTATGCAGAAATAGATAACTAATAAAGGAATTTAATGTACTATTTATGCAACTCTTCTGTAAATCCAAAATTAACTCAAATTTTAAAAATTTAAAAATATTTTGCACATATATACACATACTTTTATGCATCTCTCTATTCAGATACATGTGTGTACAGTTTTCATTACTTATGAACTCTGTAGTTGACACACCCAGTTTCAAATGCCAACTCCAATACAGAATGGCCATATGATGATATTGAATTAAATCACTTAATTTCTCTAAGTCCCAACTTGTTAAGTAATAATATTTCTCTCTGATCATTATAATAAGATAAATATTCACTATAAAGCCTGACATTTATTACATTATGAACAAATGGCATTATTATCAGTTGTAAATATGTTTATAATCATTTATTATTTTTCTCATTTATAACTTTATCTGATTTTCAAGGAATTCAGTTCCAATAACTGGGCATTTAAACTTTGAAGGGCTTAAACACTGTACATGAAATCGTCTAACCTTTAATTTCTAAACATTTTTAAAAAAAAGAAAGAAAGAAAAACAGGTGTGGTGGTGCACAACTCTACTCCCAGTGACTCAGGAGACTGAGGCACAAGGACTGCAAGATGGAAGCCGTTCTCAGCGACTTAGTGAGGCCCTAAGCAACTTAGCAAGACCCTGTCTAAAACTAAAATGAAATGAAATGAAAATAAAATTGAAATGAAATAAAATAAAATTACCCCCACACACACCCAAAGTTTTAAAATAACTATAGCCTCCCAATACTTATAATACTGAAACCAGAGACTGGCCTTGTTTTTGTGCTCCAATCCAATTCTCAATCACTTGCAGATCAGTAAGGAACCTTTCAGTTTTCCAACCCCGTTTCCACCACCATTCACATGTGAGTGCCAAAGATATGAAATGACTTGTCCAAGATCATGGCTAGAAGAACAGTTGGAAGTAGTGTTCAAGATTCTGACAGACAATAGAATGTAGGGAAGTAAGCTGTTGCTTTAATTTAACAGACTGTTTTCTTTCTTCTTCTTTTTCTTGGTAACAGTACTGAATCTAGAAACACTCTATCACTGAGCTACATCCCCAGCCCTTTTTCACATTTTATTTTGAGACAGGGTCTCACTAACTTGCCCAGGCTCTAGCTGGACTTGAACTTTGATCCTCCTGTTTCAACCTCCCAAGTAGCTGGGATCACAGAAGTGCACCACCATGCCAACTATCAGACTGCATTTGAATGCCCATCCTCATCCTTACAGACAGGCTCACTTGGCCCAAGTAGCAATGTCAGTGTCTCAGTTTCCCAGTGAGTAAATAGGGGTATCATCACCTACTTTACAGGGTCATAATGAGGACTAAAGGAGACAGTAAAAAAAAGACTCTCATCGCAATGACTACCACATAAGGATTTTGAATAAACATTTTTCCCTTCCTTCTTTCCAAGCAAAGTGCTCTCTACTCTGGTGTGCTGCTGTATGTATGTTTATATTATGCCCAACCATACGGTATAAACATACAGGAAATTCTTTTTAGCCATATTGTAAAAGACTTTTTAAGGTAAAAACTGAATGATGATAAAAATTAGGCTGAATAAGATAAATCTAATACGTTTGCTGAATTGGGTTTCCTTTCCCACATTTACAATGTGGTGAGCACATTATGTTGACATGCATGCTGGTGATGTTAGTCTTACATCATCTCACTGAAGTCGTTATCTGCCATTGTTCACCACTGTAAAGTTTTCTTTTTTTTTTCTTTTTAAATGCTAAACATTTGAGGAAAATTATGAAAATGAATCAAATTGAGAAGAGGGAGACACAAAGAGAAAGCATGCACACACACATGCAACCTCCCAAAAATCTTCAGGATAATCTCCAACATGGGGAAAAAAAGGTAAATGGTCAAGATTATTTTTAAAGTAATTCAATTTTGTCTTACACTTGATGTCAAGTCTTACCAAAAGACCTTTGAAAGTATAAACATATTACCATCACATGTTGTTGCTTATTTACATAATTCTTGAAAGACTTCTAGCAGATTAGTCAGATACAACCTCCCTTAAAAAAAAAAAAAAATCATAGTCTCTTCCCCAAGAGAATTACATTTGCTTAAGTATTTTAAACCCTTTATCACAAATTCCATCAGCTTGCTTCTTATCACAAGACTCACCGATCTGCAGATACCGGAGTCCCCTCTGGTTTGGAATATCCTTCCAAATCTGAAATGTTCACTTGTATTTGCCTTGAGGTTACTATCTGGCTATTCTGAGAAGGTATGGCTTTCAAGTCCTGAGTAATAGTATTACTATCTGGAAGAGGAGACTGTACAACTTGGAAGTCCAGTGGTGATTTAGGTCCTAGAAAACCTAAAGATTCTTGATTTTGTGCTATAGGTTTACTAGTCAATAACTTGGAGGTTGGTTCCAATGATCTTGAAGATATAGTTTGTAGGTCAGAGTTAAACTCACTATTCATCCTTGTTTTAGAAGCAGAATCCAAAGAATGAAATCTTTTATCTAAGGTTCCACTATCCAACTTGGAAGGAGTCTTGGGGCACAGAGTTATACGAACACATGAAAGTGCTTTTCTATTTGAAGGTGGAGTAGATGCAGATGTTTCTAATGTATAGTGATCAGGGGCAGATTGGGAGACTGAATTGACTTCAACATTTATCACACTAGTAATGTGTGATTTAGGTGTATGTTGATTTTTTTCTACTACACAATCCTGACCTTGAGAAAAGGGGAAATGGTGCTTTCTCATGTGGTCATCTATACCTAGGGGTCTGCTTTGATGTTGTTCAAGACAAATGGGAGAAGGAAGGTCTGAAGCTATATAATCCTGACCCTGAGAAAAGAGAGAATGGCTTTCTCTCATCTCATGATCTACATGTGGGGCATTGCTTTGTTTAAAGAGTTCTTGCTGTTCAAGAAAAATGCAAGAAGGAATGTCTGGACAAAGGCAAGAATGGTGTTTTTTCATATGGTGATCTGCATGTGGGGCTTTGCTTTTTTCAAAGAGTTCTCGTTGTTCAAGAAAAATGTGCGAAGGAAGATCTGCAGTTCTGGTTACATTCTTCTCTTTTATTCCTAGTGTGGAACTTGGTCTGCCCATACTAATGTGGGTATGGTTATCAGAAAACTGAATTTCCTTGAATGTATAATTTGCACTGGTACTGGGCTCAGAATGACTGACATTAAAATCTGATCTTTCTAAGAGTGTTTCCTCTCGATGAGAAGGCTCAAAATCAACAAATAATTTTTCGTTTTGCCTACCTTTTTCTGCTAAAAAGGTCACAGCTTTATGTGGTGAATGACTAAGCATTTTATATGATGAAGGGGAAGAGGTTTTCTGTTTAAAATCTCTAGGAGAATTTTGCTCTTCAGTGATATGAGAATTAAATACCCCCATAGATGCTCCAGTATACTGGCTACCTTCAGTAACACCAACCTTAAAAACAGAGGAATCTGAAATGCATTGAGAATGTCGGTGAGATGAAAAAGTGATGGAGGTAGTAAACTGTTTCATGGGTTCTGGGGACGGTATTTGTGATGAAGAAGGAAATTCCACTTCTTTAGGTGGCACACAAGCAGGTTCTACTTCTACTAATTCTGACAGCCAAGGGTCCATATTCTCACGGAATGGCATTCGAAGGCCCTTGCTAATTTTGAAGTCATCAGATATAAGTGGGGAATGACTTTGTAACTGCAAGGAATTCCAAACTTTCAAATGGGGGTTGTTCTGGTCTAGGGATTTGGAAAAATTGATGTGCCTGGTTCTCCACGATGATGGGCTCTGTCGTCCTCTGATCATTTCTGAGGATTCAGCAGATGTAAAAACACAAGGATGGTCTTCCAGTTGTGGTTGTTCAGCAGTAAGAGTCCTGAAACATCCTTTTTCATGGCTCTCAATAATAATGTGACTACATACAGCTTCAGGTGTGCATCCTATTCCCCGTGGACTCTGTGATCCCTAGAAGATATAAGTAGGTTCTTTAAGTAGTCTACATAGTTAGTTGTATACTATACTAATCAGTTTTCTATGCAGATCAGGATATGACCATAAAAGTCTTATCATTATTTTATAATAAAGAAGGTCAAAGAACACAGTAAAAAAAAAAAAAATGACAGTTAACTATAGAATAAAATGACTCATAACCAAGACCACCCAATAGAGTTCTTCTAAAAAATCTACTAGAGTACCAGAACAAAAACTACTATTGTCGCCCAGTATATATTCTCACTTTCTTCCTTGTAGTAATAGAAGTCACCCAAACTTTTGTTGACACATAGCCACCAAACTGAGGATGTTTCTTGTTTCTTTTGCAGCTAGTTTTGATCATATAACTAAGTTTAATTCAACGGGATATGATCAAAAGTGTTAAGTGCAACTTCTGCTTCTTGTCCTTAAAATCCAGTTCTTGACCTCCAAGTATTTCCACTACCACCACCATTACCATCACCATTTGATACCTAAATATGGGAATGCCTGGAACAACCATGGAAGACATGCATAAGGATAGCCAGTTTAGATCTGTAGATGACCTCAGGGAACACAGTTCACTTCCCTAACCTGAACTATGACATTAAAGAAAAATGAAACTCTACCTTATTTAAGCCATTCAACCCTCATTGGAGTTTATTTTGGGCTATTACAGAGGCCTGAGCTACACCTACTATTATGCCCCCAAGAACAAGAAAAACCTTTTGCTGGGGCCTAGAGTCAATGCCCAAAGCTATCATAAATATAAAATTTCTTTGAGGTTTCTGTGGTTTACCTAGAAAGGTACTATAATCTATATTAAGAATTGTAATGTAAAAATAAATACATAATTTTTTTTAAAAAAGAAAGATACTATACTTTGGCATTCCATTTGATGATATAGTACATTTGATTTCATATACAAATATTTTAAATTATGATGCCTTTTCCCACGAATGGAGTGGATGAATTTTCCATATTTCTCCTTCTAAGTAGACCTAAATACTCTGGACATTATATGATACCAATTTAAGAAGAATTGAAAGATGCATAGAAGGAGGCAGACAAGGTAGGGATCCTGGGACTTGAGGATGATTTGGTGGTGAGATCCATGAGTTTTCTTTTTGTCTCATATATACAGATTTGGGGCAACCAAGGAACAATAGACACAGACAAAAGCCCTACAAAAATCTGCTCTCACAGCTAAAAATCCAGGAAAGATATGGCAAAGCAAGACAGAAAACCTTTAGAAAATAATTGCTGTACTCCTATCACCACAGGAAAAAAACAAAAAAACAAAAAACTCCAGCCCAACCTACATAAACTCTAGCAAAATCCAAGTAACAAACCAAGACTTCCACTCTTGCAAAATTAAAATGAGGCATCCCAATACCCAGGCCAGGGTGTTATGAGAAAAGACCAAGCAGAAAACAGGACTTATTCATCCCTACTGACTGATAATGAGCTATTCCTCCCCCGTGGTATCAGTGAAATCCATGTGGGGAGCCTGGACTTTGATTCCTATTCAGCACTATCACGTGCCCCTCCTCTTTCCCAACTACAGGCTAGAATATTTGCAAACCTCATATCCAATACAGGACTGGTATAGGAAAGGCAGCAGAATACAACAGACACTAGTATGGCAATATGTAAATCAATGAATGTGTAACTGATGTGATTCTGCAATTTGTATACGGGGTAAAAATGGGAGTTCATAACCCACTTGAATCAAAGTGTGAAATATGATATATCAAGAACTATGTAATGTTTTGAACAACCAACAATAAAAAAATAAAAAATAAATAAAAAAATTTAAAAAAAAATAATTGTAAAGAACCAGATACAGAAAAAAAAAAAAAAAAAACATTCATAAAGAACTCAAAACTCAATAGGGGGGCTGGGACTAGTTCAGGGTAGAGTGATTGTCTTAGCATATGCAAAGTTCTGGGTTCAATCCTCAGCACCACAAACAAAGCTCAACAGATAAGAACAAAAAAAAAAGAGGGGGTTTCTAATTAGAAAACGGGCAAAACACACATAGAGACATTTCACTAAATAAGATACAAAGAAATGAGGATATGAAAAAATGTTCAACACTAGAAACCAATAAGAAAATACAAATTAAAACCCCTATGAAGCAATATTACAAGCCGATCAAGACGGCTAAAATTAAAAATAGTGACAACATCAATCCTGTTGAGAATGTGGAATAAGCAAATCATTCATATTCTTCTGTTGGGAATGTAAAAATGGCATAGCCACCCTGAAAAATGGGGCAGCTGTTTGCACTCATGGACATGTATTCCACAGAAACAAAGATACGTTCACACAAAAACATGCACATGAATTTTATAGCAGTTTTATTTGTAAAACCAAAAAAATAAAAAATAAATGGGAAAACCACCAAGATGTTCTTCAGTAAGTGAAAATTTAAGCTCTGGTATATACTTATCACAAAATATTACACAACAATAAAAAGGAGAAACTTCTGATAAACAGAACAACCTAGATGAATGTCCAGAAAATTATTTTGGATTCTGAATAATTCAGAGAATTATTCGGTATGAAAGAAGCCAACATACAAAAAAAAATTGTATGGTGTATGATTTCATTTATATGACACTATTGAAATTATAAAATTATAGAATGGGAAACAGATCAGAGGTTGCCAGTGGTTAAAGAAAGGGTGGATGGTGAGAGAAACAGATGCAGCTATTGTAAAGCAACTAGCGGCAACCTTGTGGCAAGGTAAATGTTCACTATCTTGATTATTTTAGCCTCGATATCATGACTGTGATATATGACTAGGTATGCAATATGTAATATCCCAGATCATTTCTTTAAAACTGCATGTGAATCTACAATTATTTAAAAACAAAACATTGAAGCTGTGTGGTGCACACGTATAAACCAAATAACTCAGAGGGTGAAGCAAGAATATTGCAAATTGAGGCCAGCCTCAGAAATTTAGTGATACTCTGTCTCAAGAAAAAGACTGGGAAAAGTTCAGCAGTAAAG